CACACCTTTAACTCCAGCACTGGGATCACACACCTTTAACTTCAGCACTGGGATCACACACCTTTAACTCCAGCACTAGAAGGGTGGAGACAGGAAGTGATATGGCTGGGCAGAGAACGGAATATAAGGTGGGAGGAGACAGGAACTCAGGTCTTTTTAGGTTCTTGCAGGCTGAGGAGCTGGTGAGTTAAGAGGTGGCTTGCTCTGTTTCTCTGATCTTTCAACTTTCACCCTGATATCTGGCTCCGGGTTTTTAATAAGACCAATTAGGGCTCTTGCCACTCAGTCTGACAACCTGAGTTTGATTCCCAATAAACACTTGATGGAAAAAGAGAATCAACTCCCAGAAGTTGTTCTCTGACTTCCATGTGTATGCAGTGGCATGTGTATGTGCATACAAAAACACAAATATACACACACAATAAATGTAGAAAAAAACCACCACCATATAACTAAAAGAGAGTGAAGGGGCTGGAGAGATGGCTCAGCAATTAAGAGCACTTGTTCTTACATAGAACTTGGGAGGCAGAGGTAGGCAAATCTGAATTCAGGGTCAACCTGGTCTACAAACTGAGTTCTAGCCCAGCCAGGGTCTACATGGTGAGAATTTGTCTCCAATTAAAAAAAAAAGGAAAGTACAAATTTAAAAAAATGGCTACCTCATTCCAATAGAAGCCAGTTTCTGAGCTGCCCTATGAAGAGATCCATCTGGCAAAGAACTTCAGCCAATGATTAGCAAAGAACTAAGTTCCTCAGTTCAATAGCCTATGGAAATGAATTCCTGTTGCTAATGTCTGACTGTATTCTCAAATTAATTCTGAAACCCTACTTACACATTAGAAGGTGAGGCATTTGGCAAGCGTTGAAGACAGACCTTTCATAAGTGGGATTAGTACCCCTACAAAGAATGCCCCAGAGAGTAAGCAGTTTGTTTTAGCATGTGAAGACACAGCAAGAACATCTCTGGGCTGAAGAAAAGGCTCAGAGGGTAAGAGTACTTGCTGCTTTTACAGAAGACCCTGGTTTAGTTTCCAGTCCCAACATGGTAATTCACAACCATAAGTAACTCCGTTCTGGGGACTCTGATACCTTCTTTTGAACTCTGGGGGCATCAGGTACCCACATGATACATATTTATACATGCAGGCCAAACACTCATACACATATGATAAATTTTTTTAAATCTGAAAAAGAAAAAAAGGCCTTATCTAGAAAACAGATCCTAATATCTGCAAACACCCTATCACTTGGACTTCCTAGCCCCCGTGATAATAGATACATTATGTTATAGAATTTTGCTATCAAAACCAGAATGGACTAAGACATTTGCCAGTACCTATCTGAGTAAACATGGGGAGCCTAGTTCAAGCCCTAAGATAATACCTGCCCTTGTGGAACCCTGTATTATTACAGTCTGTGAGAAATCAAGATTTCCGAAATTTAGCCCTGACCTCTAAGCTAGTAAGAGTTTGCTGCAATAAATAACTGCCTACACAAAAAGATAATGAATCTCAATCCTCGGGGAAGTCTTTGCCCTGGAGGAGATGGGAACAGGGGGTTGGGTTGAGGAGAAGGGGGGGGGGGGCGACTGGAGTGGGGAGAACAAGGGAATCCGTAGCTGATATGTAGAATTAAATTATATTGTAAAATAAAATAAGATACTAAATATCATTTTGATTTTCTCTAAAATGTCTATATGCACTGTGACTGGTAGCACCTGTGCAAGAGATCATTTAATAACCAGTCCTCTAATTCAGAAATAGACAAATACCTCGTGCCCGACGAGGAGTACTGAGAGGATGGCCATTGGCTTCACACCAGCCCAAAGGAAATATATCCATCGACTCCACACTTACAATAAATTCAGGTATAGGCTTCTTAGAACCTGTTAGATTAAGAAAACAAAATTTGAATTATTAAACAGCTTCCTTTGTAAGTTTCTTTGTTTTATGTGGTTTGTTTGTTTAGTTTTTGAGACTGGGTCTCACTAGGTAATACAGGCTAGCTTTGAAATAGCGATCCCTCTGCCTCAGCCTCCTAAGTATTGGGACTATAGGCAATGCACAACCATGCCTGGGTCCTACACGTTACTTTTTCAACAGCACTGTAATAATATAGACACAAGTCTCTTAAGCAATGATCTTTCTCATGGAAGTCATATAATTTATGTTACATAAATATTATGAAAAAATAAGTTGCCTTCTATCTGTAACTTATAAGAACCAAGAAGGAAGTAAACACACAGCGAACTTTGGCAAAGGAACAGCAGAGAAGTACCTGGAGCTCTGACTGGTGTCATTCAGATGGCTAATAAGGACCACAGTCATTTCCTTGAAATAACCCGAGGATGGGGGCAAAAGTTTACTTTAACTACCAGGACTAAGGTCTTGTGTTCTTGGAATAAACCTGAATGTGGTACAATAAACTCCAATCAGGAAAAGATCTGCCAAGTTGCTTGGCAGATATTGCATGGATGTCTGCAGTAAATACTGTTCTTGACATCTTCATTACACATCAATTCTACAAATCAGAAATAGAAGGCATCTTTTTAGAGACTATTTGGCAGCAGGATAAAAAAAAGCAGGCCACGTACAATAGCTGCAGCATCGAGCACTTCCGTAGCTTCATCCACAAACCTGCCTAATCACTAAATATTACCTTGAGAAAGATACATTAAGTTTGTCTACATTCTATTTGGTTCTGTTGTCTTGGGACAACCAAAATGTCACCTCTTCAATAAGTGAGGCAGTTAATGTTATACTAATGTATTTTGGTAACATCAAAATAAACGTTATTTTGACTTGCCCTTATGTAAATAAAGGACTTTAAAGAGCTTTTATTGACTTCCATTTCCTAAAATTTAAAAGTCAAGGACAAATAGTAAAATGTTAGCTTAAAATCTTGGGTTTCAAATTATCTCACTATTTAACAAGTCCACTGAGTCTAACAAGCTACCCTACACGGGTGAGCAGGAAGAGCAAAGAAATGGCCACAGGAAACTTGTCAGGGATGCTGGCCCTTACCTTCTAGCTGGAGCCACAGGTAAGAGCCTCTCACGGCAGTAATGGTGGCAATGCAGACTTCTTCAGGGAGAAGAGGGTTCACTGCCTCCACTTTCATGTTCTTCTTAAACTGGTGCTCATAAATTGACTAGAAGAAAATCAATGAATCAAATTTACTAATTAGATTAATATCTAGTACTAACTTGTGCTCAACTGGAATGTTTTGCAAGCAGTATTTAATCCCTAAATTTACAGTAAAGCAATAAACATATTTTGTTCTGTTTTGTTTTCAAGGAAGCAAAGGAAAAATAGGAGGAAACAAGTTTTAAGATTTAGTTATTTTCCTTCCTGATAACTCATTAAAAATTGCTGTTGGTTATTGAGAATATAAACCTAGAGCTATCTAGATGGGCTGAGTGTATAAAGGTCCTTGTTTGAACCCCAGAACCTACAAGGTGGAAGGTGAAAAGTTCCATGTGTGCCATGACATGCACATGTACAAATGCACACACAAAATAAATAAATACATTTAAAAATAAAACCATAACCTAGTAGGACGCATATAACAAGAGATAGCAAACATAGATTGGCAGTGAAGAAAGCCAAGAACTGTCAGAACCAGCACCGATGCAAGGGGGGGTGGAAGTGAGTGACCTAAACAAGGTCTAGTTGATTTGCATGGTTCCTCTGGTTGGTTTCAGGCACGTCTCATGTAGCCCAGACTGACCTCTAACTCTTGCTACGTGCAAAGATGTGACCTTTATTCCTGATCCTTCTACTTGCACCTTCCAAGTGCTAGGATCTCAGGTAGGTACCACCACACCTTGCTTACACAGTTCTGAGGCTCTAACTCAGGACTCCAGGCATGCTAAGCAAGCACTCTAAAAAGATAATGAGCTACATTCCCAGCCCCTCATTTTTTTTAAATTAAAAACAAAATGTTTTTTGAGATGGGGGTCTTACTATTTAGAAATGGCTGGCCTCCCATTTATATCAATCCTCCTGCCTCAGCCTCCTAGAGCACTGGAATTACAGATGTGTACCTTCATGCTTGGAGGACCTTTTTTTTTTTTTTTTTTTTAAACTTTCTTTCTCTTTTTTTTTTTTCCAGAAACATTTAAAAAGCATTTACATTATGCCATTATGTACTATTACATACCTCAGGGCAACTGTGTCTTTCCCTTCCCTACAGAAAGTGAGATTTATTCTCTGGAAAAGATAAAATACAAGATCTTTGGGCAGGAGGACACAAACAACTTTCAAAGGTGTGTATGTAGTGAAGGCCCAGCCGTAGCCTCTATAATATCAGACAGGGGACAGGAAAAGATCTTTCACAGTAATAGGATAACACATCAAGATAGAAGTTTAGTTTTTCTCAATTAATGGCCACTCAATTAAAGATCCCACTCTGTAGGAAAAGTCAAGGTTGACAAACCCCATCTAAACATGCTCAAATTTTCTAATCAGTTTTTTTGTTTTAGTTTCCCATTCTTAAATATAATCAGTAATCTAGAATGATCATATATTTAAGAATATAAAAGCTACATACAATAAAAAAGCAGATAGCATGCAAAGAAACCTTCAAACCAGTAGTGGTGTTAACATTTTCTGGCAGACAAGAAAATCTATTTCATACTTAAAGAAGAGTACACCACTAAAAATAAAGAACTATTAAGAGTTTTGTCTGATGGTGCATGCCTTTAATCACAGCACTCAGGAAGTAGAAGCAGGTAGATCTCTGTGAGTTCAAAGCCTGTCTTATCTACATAGCAAGTTCTAGGCAGACAGAAATAGGGAAATCCTGTCAAGTCAGTGAGACTCTACTGCAAAAATAAATTAAATAAAATAAAACAAAATGAAGAACTATTCAAAGAAGAGAAGTAGTCCTGAAAATAAAAAAATATAGTATAGCAAATTAAAAACTTGGGGCTGGAGAGATGGCTTAGAGATCAAGAGCACTTGCTACTCTGGCAACAGACCTGGGTTTGGTGCCAGAATCTATAGGGTGGCTCACGATCATCTATAACTCAGTTTCCAAGGATCTGATGCCCCCTTCTAGCCTCTGAGGGCATCACATGCACATAAACACAAAATACTGAGATACATAAAATAAAAACAAATACATCTTTTAAAAAAATTTTTGTTTTTTGTTTTTCGAGACAGGGCTTCTCTGTGTAACTTTGCGCCTTTCCTGGAACTCACTTGGTAGCCCAGGCTGCCTCGAACTCACAGAGATCCACCTGACCCCAGCACTTGGTAAACTGAGGCAAGATGATTACCATGAATCTAAAGATAGCCTTGGGACACGTAGTGAGTCTGAGGTCAATCTAGACTACAGAGTGAGAGTAAATCTAAAAAAAAAACCCAAAAAACAAAAAACAAAACAAAACTATAAATTTTTGTTTGTTTTTTGAGACAAGGTCTAAAAATTATATGTAGCCTAGCTGATCTGGAAATCACTCTGTAGACCAGGCTGGCTTTGAACTCATAGAGATCCACTGCCTCTGCCTCCCAGGTGCTGGGATTAAAGGTGTGCGCCACCAGGCTCTGCTGAGATTTTATGTTTTCTATAAGAGGAAAAAAGGCAGGCTACCTGCAACTTTGCACAAGGGGAGAGGAAAGGCAGGTTCATCTACAAAAAGTTAAGAGTAATCCTGTCTCAAAAAAACAACAATAAAACCTCAAGAGTAAAATTGTCTTTTGACTTAAAACAAAACAAAACACTAGAAGTAAGACAAGTGAGCAATATTTTTTAAATCCTGAGGTAATATCCAACCTAACTTTCATATTAAAGCTAAACTCTGAGTCTATCAGTAGGATGAAAATTTCAATATACAGAATTTAGTCAAGTGTACACAGTCCTTATAACCATGTTTTAAGAAGCTGTAAGCAATAACAGGCTCCATCAAAACAACCAAGTAAGAGGCTGAGGAGATGGCTCAGTGGGTAACAGTACTTGCTGAGAGAGCAAGAAGACCTGCGTTCAAATCCTCAGTACTTATACAAAAAGCTCGACATGATGGCGGATGTCTGTAATGCCAAAGCTGTGGTGCAGAGAGGCAAGTGGATACCACAGGCTCTCTGGGAATGAGCCTATCAGAAACAGAAAGCTTCACCTTTAGTGACAGACCCTACCTTTTAAAAACTGGAGAGAAACAAGACGACACCCAACATCCCCTTCTGGCCTTTTCATGTGCATATATATATATCTGTCTGTCTCTGTCTGTATCGCTCTGTCTCTGTCTCTCTGTCTCTGTCTCTGTCTCTGTCTCTCACACACACACACACACACACACACACACACACACACACACACACACACGTAAACCAAGGAAAGAGGAAAGAGGCCATGAGTTCTATTTAACAGCAGCTCCAAATCCTAAGAGAGGAGAGGGAATTCCCTGTGTGATAGTCACAGAACTACTCGGTAAAGCCTCGAAAGCTGTCTTTCCAGGGAGAAAAAAAATATCAGAAACATTCATCTTCTGATTGGACTGCCTTTGTGGAATTAGTAACAAGAAGCTACTGGAGGGTAAGGGAAGAACTAGTAATAGACACAAAGAAATTAACCAAACAGCAACAAAACAGCAATTATTCACATGACAAATGTTTTAAAAAGGAAAATAACCATAAAATACTGCAGCAGTGAGCTATTAAAGATGCATATAATGTAAATCTTTAACTGAAATTTTATCAAAACTAACTAGTGATGGTTATGACAGAAGGGAAGGTAACACCAAACAGTTAAATGTTTCTTTACTATCCTATGTCACCACAAGTGTCTAAAATTAACACCTCAAGAGTATAGCACATTATTTTGAAAATAATGAGGTATAAATACAAGAATCACAATGAAGGAAAAAAAATGTGGTCACTATATAAACTGAGGACATGATCTCTCCAAGGTATGGCTGTGGGATCTCACCGGAGGGAAGCACTTCTGGGGGGCAGCTTCGGCACCACACTGTTTGAGGTAGTCAGCCCAGTCAAAGTCCTGGCTCCGGAAGCCTGAACAGAGACAGAAGAGCAATGATTCACACCTAATACACCTCTGACTCCAGCATCTGCCATGTGTCCACTCACAACTCCTCATACTGTTAGTCTATGTACTTTCATCAATGTGGAGGGGCACTCTATAATATAAACCATAATTAGTACTTTTCATGCTAGGGAACTGAACCCACAACTATACAGAGCTAATTTTATAAAATTACTCTGGAAAAAATTTAATTATGTAATAAAATTAATGAAATAGTTGTTCAAACTTCCAAATTTCAAACCAGGTCTTTTTAAGCAGTCTTTTTGTATGACTAGTTATTGACAATTTGTCAAGAGTTTAAAAAAAACAAAATAAAAAGACAGGATTTGGTTTTGTATATAGAAATTTAGTCTTATTGATTTTATTAGTACTTTTTTTTTGTTGTTGTTGTTGTTCTGTTTTTTCGGGACAGGGTTTCTCTGTGTAACTTTGTGCCTTTCCTGGAACTCTCTTTGTAGACCAGGCTGGCCTCGAACTCACAGAGATCCGCCTGCCTCTGCCTCCTGAGTGCTGGGATTAAAGGCATGCGCCACCACCGCCCGGCTTATTAGTACTTTTTAATCAATGAGGACTTTTTGTTAATAAGACCATTTGCTTTTCTTAACATGTCTTAGCTAATACCAATACAATGTCTTTTTTTTTTTTCCCTTAAGACAGGGTCTTATGTGGTAGTTCAGGGTACCTTAGAACTCATGTAGCCAAAGCTGACCTTGAATTATTGACTGTCCTTCCTCTACCACCTTCCAAGTTCTAGGACTACAGGCATATACCACCATACCCTGGGTCTGCTGCAATACTCTTAACACTGTTTTCAGATTCATGTACTACAGAATCTGTCTAATGCTCCCAGGGATAGAGAGAATAGTGGGCACAGGGATGCAGCTGGATAGGAGGAATAATGTCCCTACTATTGTTGACAAAATCAAACTACTAACAGAGAAGATTTTGACTGTTCATAACACAAAGAAATGATATAATATCTAACAGATATGTCCATTACTCCACCCTGATCATTATAATTGAATGTATGTATTAAAATGCTACCCTGTACTCCATAAATACATACAGTATATGTCAATTAAGAAAACATTTTAAAACTCTAAATGCTCTTATATAATCTGAATCATAAATTCAACTCAGACTAAAATAAACAATTCTCTACTTTAATCTGCCAAGGTTCTTGGTAGGAACACCTCCAAACTAGGATCTGACTCAACTCCGTCTGCATGAGAGTTACATGGTTGCTGTTGACTTTTGTCTGACCTTTTCTGCCCAGAGCGTAATCTCAGGCTACGCAGAACTGTGTCCTCCTACAGGCGACAGCCCCTGCTGTCCTCTTTCTCCACCAAACAAAGAGGCCCCAGCGCTCCCTCTGACCCAGTCTCACTTCTGATACAACATTCCCTGACACGGTCCTTTCTTAAATACTTCTATTTTTATACAAGTGTATGTGCATCTGTGTGCATGTATTCACACATGTATGCTGGTACCTGCAGAGTCCACAAGTGGGTACCAGATACCCTGGAGCTAGAGGTGCAGGCAGCTATGAGCCCTGCTATGGACACTGGACCCTGGACCTCTGCAGAAGCAGCAAACGCTCTTGGCCACTGCGCCATCTCCGCGGGCCACTGTCGCTTTCAATTACACGCCCTGCTCTCCCTCTGGTTACAGGTTCAGCTGACTTGTCGACAGAATGCCCAAAGCTCCGATGTCTTTAATCCTTGTTTTCTCCTTTTCACACAAAGGCAGCAAGCAGTATCAAGAACCTGGAATATCCTGCACCTCCCTGCAAAGCAACACGTTCCCAGCACAGTGTTCAATGCCATGCCTTCCCGCCAGGTGCCCTTGTGTTCTGCTCGCTGATGGCGGAGAACCTGGAAGGGCTGTGGATGTTTTTTCCCATGCGCCTCCTGAAAGGCTAGGTTATCTCATCTCTGCCTTCTCAGTGATAAATTCAATACGTGTTCACAACAAACATTGCATAAATGTTTTTTTGGATGAATGAAGGCTGGGTGGAGGACAGTTTATGATCCTTGCTAATATAAGAGTACTTCCAGTACAATGCTTCAGCAGTCAGCATTCAAGAGAAGCCTTGATTACCAAAGCCTACTAAGTCAAAACAATCTGGTTTTCAGGTATAAGAAAAACTAATATCTGACATTTTCCAGATATTCCAAGTTTAAAAATACTAAAAAATTCAGTCAAATTCAGTGAAGTTTTAGTTCAGTGCTTTGATTAGGCAAAATATCATATTTTACAAAGTTACAAGAACAAGTAAAATGAGCTGTTACACATTTTAGATCTTGATCATAACGTCCCTCTGACTAGTCATCTCCATAACAAGGCCTCAACACCTAAAACTCATCCACCTTCTAGCTAGGACTACATGCTCAGTGTTTGTCAAACCTACTGTACTAATTAGTGTCTGTCAGCTTCACACAAACACAGACATATCTGGGAAGAGAGACTCTCAATTAAGGGATTGCCTTCATCAGACTGTCATCCCAGGGGAGAGTCTGTAAGGCATTTTCTTAATTAATGATTAATGTGGGAAGGCCTAACCTACTGTGGGGACTGCCACCCCTCGGAAGGTGGTCCTAGGTTGTATGTACAAAAAAGCAGTCTGAGCAAGCCATAAGGAACAAACTATTAAGCAGAATTCCTACATAGTCTGCTTCTGCTTCTGCCATGGGTTCCAGCCTGGACTTACTTTAGTGATGAGTTTTAAGTATAAGATGAAAAAAACCCATTCTCCAAAGTTGTTTTTGGTCCATGTCTTATCACAGCAACAGAGAAGCAAACTAGGACACCACCCCTCTGTGACCTCCCAACAGATTCCAAATGGAACAGACTAGCAATAGAATCAGGCTTAAACCTGTCCTTCTAGCTGGCTATACAAATATATGTCAAAGTATGAGAAAAATACTAACACTTCAGCTTGTGAATTCAAAGATTACAGAATGAGCTGGGTGTGGTGGCGCACGCCTTTAGTCCCAGTACTCTGGAGGCAGAGGCAGGTGGATCTCTGTGAGTTTAAGGCCAGCCTGGTCTACATAGCAAGTTCCAGGCCAGTCAGGCCACATAGTAAGACCTTTCCTCAATCAATCAATCAATCAATCAATCAAATTATGGAATCTAGATCTCATTTACCTTATCTTGGGCCTCCATAATACTCAAGACAGGAGGTATAAAAGATCTTACCAATACCATCCAACACACATTTCAAGGGCTAAGGCTGGTACATGAGGATTTTAAGGCCAGCATGGGTTATATGGTGAACATGAGGACACACTCAGCTACATAGTGAGAATCTACATAATTAATTAGGATAGTAATAATTTTGAGAAACAACACAGAAGGACTCAAATCCGCACCTGGAGGAGGGTTGATGTGTAAACCATTCTTTAGACTCCACTGTACAGGAAAGATGCCAGGACTGTTAGCATGGCACACAAATGATCTCCTTGTATGGTCTTCTGGTCGAAGGTCATCCATTTCCACCAGAAAGTACTTATTATCAAAAATCTATATAAGTAAACAGATAAAACTGACCAATGGATTTATGTATATTATACACATTATACACACACGCACACACACACGCACGCACGCACAAACATGTATCTATCACAGATAGACTTGTACTTTCCTTAGCACAATCAAACACTGTTTATACTCACGCTGGATTATTAAAATATTCAATAAACGTTAGTTCTACATCAGGTACTAGTTTAGTTAAATATCTTCATATATTTACTCAGTTTTACTTTTTGTAACAATCTAATGAGGCAGGTACCATTTCCAATTCCATTTTTCAGGTAAGGAAAATGAATTTAAAGAAAAGTAAAGTATCTTACTGCAGGTTACACAGTCCAGGAACTGCAAACCTGAACTCAGTCAAGTATTTGGGTTCAAAGCAAAATTTAGTTTAAGTTAAGGGGTCAACTACATTACTATACTAACTTCAAATGCCAAAAATAAGAACATAATAAATGTCCTCTTCAGACTCCAGAGAAGGTTGATAGGTCTTGGTCTCAGTCTCCTTTTGTCTCTCTTTCTCTGTGTGTGTGTGTGTCTTAAAGATTTCTTTTTATTTCATTACTTACATGTGTGTCTATGTCTGTGTGTGTATATATGTCACATGGGTGTAGGTGCTAAGGAGGAGGCCCTGAAACTGTAATTACAAGTGGTTATAAGCCACATGATGTGGGTGCTGGGAATTAAACTAATCCTCTGTTAAAGGCTCTTAACCACAGAGCCTTTCCTCCAGCTTCCAGCAAAGATTTAAGACTACTTACAGGCTCAAAAATCTCTCAGTGCTCTGAGAATAATCTTCCACTAAGACAAAGAAAATGTAAATCTCATCAAGTCAGATAATTAAGCATCCTAGTAATTATTCCCATAGTTATAATCCACCTTGGGCTCTACTTTCAGAAAATGGGCTTCTGCTCTGGTCCTAAGCCAAATACTTCCCATTACACAAGAACTGCACCTTGACAATGTGGTCACTCTTAACAAGAGCCTTAATTTTGTAAGCTGTTGAAGAGATTAAAGTCTCAGTCCAGAACACACAGCTGTAGCTACCCTAATGGTGATGCTAATTCTGTGACCCTACATGCCTCTCTATGCCCCTAAAACCTGTCCCTGGTTAGATAAGCAATGGCACTGCCTGGATTCATACTTGATAAACATGGGCCCAAATACTAGTCAAGTCCTTTCTGTTATACAAAGTAAGGCTTGCCTCTAAAGAACGTTTCCTTCTCCTACTTTGGTGCTCTGGCTATGCTCTGCTTTGGCTGTTCAGGACTGCTAAGCTCTGAAGAAGAAATGGCGCAGACACACGAAACTGGACAATACAATACAAATATATAGAAGAGATCTGGCTTTACAGTGAATTGTATTAGCATAGCCTCAAGATCAAACTACCACCATTTCCTCAACTAGTCACCCTGATGGCAATTCTTTCCAGAAGAAAATTACTCCCATTTCACCTTAGCAATTGTAGCAGGAGAAATCCCAAAGGGAGACCATGGGTCCACAGCTTCCAATTTCATATTTACAGAAAATTCATGGGTTCCAATAACTTGCTTATCCTGAAATGTATATAACAAAAAAGAGTAAAAATAAAGTATCTTTGACTTAATTTACCCTCATATATAGCTGACTACTTGTGATGGTTAATCTCCATTGTCAATCAGATCATCTGAATCTGGATCATCTAGGTGACAAGCTCTGGGTGTGTCTCTAAGGGTATTTCCAGGGAGGTTTAAGCAAGGAGAGAAGAACTATACTCTGACCGTGGAGAACACCCTATGAACTGTGGACCTGGACTTGTTGGAAAAGTGGGGAGTGAGCTGCACACCAGCACTCCTTTCTCTTTGCTTGCTGATTGCATGTTTGCTGTAGCCAGGCACCTCAAGCTCCTGTCTCCATACTTCTCAGCCATGACAGCCTCCCTCCCTTCAAAGCAGGAGTTAAAATAAACCCTTACTCCTTAGGTTGCTCTTGTCACAGGCATTTCATCACAGCAACAAGGTAATCTAGTTAATTAAAATAACAGAGCTGTCAAGCTTCTGGTACATCATCCTGTAATTTTTCTTCCTGGGAAAAATCTATTCAGGACAAAAACAACTACTCATGTAAAACATTCCTCTCTCCGTTTGGAATACAACGAACACCCGTAAGAAAGATTACACTTATTTCCTAACTAGTTAAGGTTATGTAGTTAAGACTGGAAAAGAAGACATTCAGGTAGCTTTAAGAGGACACTGAGAGAAACCCAGTTAACTGCTGGAAAACAAGGCTGATCATAATCTCTCCAGTTTGACCCCTCCTTCCCACCACAGGCCACTCTCCTGCCTCCAATGGTTACTTTCCATTCTTTATCCTCTAATTGCTACTATCTACTATAAGGAGAAAATTTGTATTTATCATGAGTTTCTGTTTTTACCTTAAATAAGTAAGAGGGCAATGGCTCTTCCTCTTCCTCTTTTACTTTGGCCAGAATCTCTTGCCAGTCAGCTTCATTTTTCAGGTGCCTGATGGCTTTAGTATAACAAAACAGCATGTTTTAAGAGGAGAAAACCTATAGTTTTAACTTCTGAAATCATTCACATAAACATAAGTACTTTCTACTGTGGGTTAGAGAAAGTTCAGGATTGTTTCACCACCACCACCCCATCCCCGCAAGAGGGCAAGGTTTCTCTGTGTAGTTCTGGCTGTCCTGGAACTTGATCTGTAGACCAGGCTGACCTCGAACTCGGGGATCAGCCTGCCTCTGCCTCCCAAGTACTAAGATTAAAGACATGCACCACCACACCTGGGTTTTTTTCTTTTATGGGTGAGGGGTTCAGGTCCACCTTCATACAAAAGAACTTGTACCCTAATCTCAGTATTGGACTCTGTTTAAGAGGCCAGAAAATGAAAGTTTGTTAAAATCTCTACAGTAAGAGCAGAAGTAATGCTGCAGCCCACAAAATAATGCAACAAATACTCAAACTGGACTACATAGTTATAAATGCAAGTAAGGATAAAATATTGGTTAGGGGAAAGCCTGAGGTATAATCAGTAGTGTATGCTAAACTCTAAGTGTAATAACAAAATCAAAGAGAAATATACACCTAATGCAATTACGTTGTATAATACAAAACATTTTTATGTGAATTAAGGAAGGTTTTTATAATATGTAGAATACATTTTCAGCCTCAAAGATATTAATAATAAAGCAATAACAGAAGTTTACAGAAAAGTATTATGTTACTCTTTACCTAGTGGGGGCTGAAGTTCATATCCTTGCTGAGCAGCCCAACCAATGTGATGAAGAAACGGATCTAAGTAATACAACCAGTGTTCAAAACCGTCACAACTTTCAAGTCCTTCATAACGCAGCTTCAGCCGCCCCCCAATGTTCTCAACAACAGTAACAATCCAAGTGCTTAAAGAGTCCTGAAAAGCTTGGCATTCTAGTCTGGATCCTGGGGCAATGAGGTCTAAAGGATTCCTTCCATGACGGAGCTGTAGGTTAGAAACATGAAACGGCAGGGGTTAGTGTTTCTTTTTAAGAGTCAAGTTCTAAATTTTCCCAAACTAGTCTTCATATAGTTTTACTCACCCAAACACTGGCATTAAATTACATTGTCTACAGACCGTCTCCCACAATATCACTTTTGGATGATATGAAAATGTTTATCATAAAGAAAATCTTACTTATAACACAGTAAAATTATTTTAACAAATATCTCTAAATTATTATTTCATTTAGTATAATTTTAAAAATAGAATCTTGTCTCTGATTATGAAAGCAACTATGATCACCATTAAAGAGAAAGTCAAACATGCCTACCCTCTTTTAGAATCCTAAAGACCTAAAAAGACCAGAGAATAGTTGGTATAAGCACTACACACAAGTCAATATCCACTTATGCTTCTCTTTGTTCTTTTTTTTTTAAAAAATATATACTGTTTTTATTGATTAGATCACAGATGTCAGCTTCTCTACCTTTTAGACTGTTCTTAGTATTTTGATCTAAAGAGCAATAATGTGTCTACTACTGATGAGATTTTACTTGTTGTCCCCATTCCACTTGTTCTCATGAACGGTAAGAACTTCTGGTTACAGCGAAAGGAAAGGAAAATTTAACTATCTAGATTTTTTACTAAGAAAACTTAGAGGCTACATAAATGGCTCAGCAGTGAAGAGTACGTACAGCTCTTATAGATGACTTGAGTTTGGTTCTCAGTATCCATGTCAAGTAGCTCACAACTGCCTATAACTCTAGCTACAGAGGATCTGATGCCCTCTCCTGGCCTCAACAAGCACTCCTACTCAGGTGTACAAACCCATACTCAGACACACACAAATATATACCACTAAAAATAAAATTGTAAGTTGGGTATGTTGTTACACATCTTTAATACTAGAATTCAGGAAGCAGAGGCAGACAGATGTTTGTGAATTCAAGGCCACTGTGGTCTACATAGGGAATTTGAGGCTAGCTAGGCAGTGGTAGAGCACCCCTTTAATTCCAGCACCTGGGAGGCAGAATCAGGTAGATCTTTTGAGTTTGAAGTCAGCCTGGTCTACAGAGTGAGTTCCAGGACAGCCAGAGCTACACAGAGAAACCTTGTCTCGAAAACACCAAAAAGTAAATAATAAAATAAATAAATAAATAAATAAATAAAATAAATTTTACCATCTAGATATGTATTTAAAACTACAATAAAGAATAGGCGGGCTGGAGAGATGGCTCAGCACCCATATGGCCGCTCAAAACTATCTGTAACTCCAGTTCCAGGAAATCCACCACATTCATACAGACATATAAGCAGGCAAAACACCAATGCACATTAAGGACCTCTGTGAGTTCAAGCCCAGCCTAGTCTACATAGCGAATTTCAGGACAGCCAGAGCTGGTGCAGAGAAACCCTGTCTTGAAAAAACAAAGACAAGAAGGAAAGAAAGAAAGAAAAATAACATCAGATTCCCAGCACCTATGTAAGTTGGGTGTGGAGGCAGGCACCTATAATCCCAGCACGGGGGAACAGGGCTAGAGGACCCTGAAAGGCTCGCTAGTCAGTCAATCTAGCCAACTAGTGAACTCCAGGACAAGGGAGAACCTCTGTCTCAAAAAATAGAGGAGAGCAATTGATGAAGACACCCAGTGTCAACTTCTGACCCACACGTGCGCTCCACACACACATATAAATATGCGCGCGCACGCGCACGCGC